AGCTGATTGACAAAAGGTGAGATGTAATTATTTATTTGATGGAGGCTTGCTTCCCTTGGCTCAGGCATAATCAGCACAACTAACATGCTTTCTGGTTTGAGTACTATGTGTAGATGATGAAAACATTTGGAACCAATCTAGGTTGAACATAAGTCCCAAGTGAGTGGAAGCTGATGTTGTATTAAAGAATAGTTCATTGTTTTTATCAGCAAAACTTTTCCACCGTTTTCCATCATAAATGTCACTAATGAATGTTGATGGGAGTTGCTGTGTTCTCCAATGGCATAGCATTTTTTCAAATCCAGGTCTTTTATACATACTTTTAAGACTGCCAAGCGGGAATAATGACAGAGGCTTATTTGCTATCCTATTACCAAACAACTTGATTTGTTTTGTCAATGGGATATTGCATGATTCAGTGATACGGTTTCTATTCGACATGACTGCTAATTGTCCATCTTGTTCATAGTTAACAGTCTTGCAGATATCGTAAAAGGTGTGGCATTTTGAACAAGAAACATACGTCTTAAACAATCACGAACGTGAACAAGCTTTCTCGCTATCGCAGCATAGATTGAGTTGGGAATGGCAAATCGTAGTTTGTCAATATCGATTAATATTATCCGCAAGAATTTGATGAATATGTTGATGTGTGTTGTAGGTATTTTAAAGTGTACTTGCATTTTGAATAAAATAAAATTATCCACATAAAGTGTTCTATTTCAGTTGAGTTAAATGTAATGTTGTCTTCATTGTCATCTGTAAAATTGGATGAATTTGTACCAAAAGCTTCAAATGATTCATCCTCTGCAATACTTTCATTTTCGGCATCATCATGATCGGATTCGGTCTCACATTCAATGTTAACATATTCGTCATCATACTCACTATCATCATCACTATCCATGGTACAGGATGGAAGTACTACAAATGGTCTGGAATGGTGCGGGTGTCGCAATGTTTCGTCAGCGGTGAAATTCAATATTTCGGGCATTTCTTCACTGCAGATGCTTGCATTATCATCTCGTCTGTTGAGTTTGAAGACTTCTTTCAATTTCATGGATTTTCTTGATCCTAGGATCACGCAGACAACCATTGCACTCCGCTACAAAAACATTTAACAGACGTGCGAAGAGTCCTTTCCATTCTTGTATGCATATCAGCTTGTGGCATTTTTTGCCATTTTGAATGCAAGGTCGATGGAGATTTTCTTTATTGTCATAAGTATTAAAAATAGATCGCTTTCTCATGTCGAAATAATTTGAGTAGTATTAGAGATCCGCCAGTTGATGGCTGCGAAGTGACACGTGTTGAAATTGAAGAAATTCTCAAAATTGTGCATAAGAATCAGCGCCAGTAATACATGAAACTCACAGACCCTAATGCAAGGGCATTATATTCACGCCGCGTTCGTTGTAATAACAGAAATATTGAGGTATGGGTATTTTTCTTTAAATTATAGAAACGTCGGAGAGATTATTGGTACTTTCTGACCTGGTAAATGTAAAAAGCCGCCTCGTAAGCAACTATGATGTTAACGAGCTTGAGCAAATTATCCAAGATCGCTGATACCACTCCCCGGAACGTTATCCTGAACGTTTATCCAGTTCATTTGAACATTCATCTGACGAAATAATCGTTTATGGTTTGAGCTGGTGTTCTGAAGAGGTAAGCCTTTGGGAGATCGAACTATTATTTAAACTTTTATTGAAATTTGTTTTTCAGTAAAGAGCCTCCTTCGAGACATAAAGGATTTTCACTTTGAAGTCTTCATATATTAATATAGCTTTAAATACATAATAGACTTCTTATTGTCTAGCCTAAATGAATTTCAACCAGATGACATGTCATCTAGCGAGTTTACTGGACAGAAAAGCTGGGCAGCATGAGTATTCTTTACTCTAAAGGATGTTGTTAGGGAACAACATATAAATTACAGGTTGAAATGAAGCAGAGATGTTGAAGAATATGTTGAAGATGAAGAGGGTTTATTATTATTTGACTACATAGCTGTAGAGAATGCTAGAAGACAGAGAATTAGAAAATATAGAAGGCAAAAGTATTGAAGAAGTATATGATAACAGGTATAAAAATTCCTGGAAAGGAACACATACAAGTTGTCACTGTGTGTTGTCATTGGTAAATCATTTGCACATTGTAATTCAGAGTGTAACTTAGAGCCATTGTCTCATATGATTGGAATGTGGGAGGTTGATGTAGAACTGGGAGAGCATGCAAAATTCAAGTTGCATGAGTATGGTGTTTGTTCAAGCCATTTCAATTTTGACAATAGTAAGCTCCATAAAGCCAACCTTAAAAAAAATGGGCTAGTGAATACAAGCACAGTTCATAAGAAACTATGAAATACTTCTTTACCAGAGGAGGTAATTGTTTAGCATACTGTTGGGCTGTAGGAAGAAAAATATACAGGTCCCATACATTGGCCTAAAGTCATGCCTGTATTGATAATAGTCTTTCATTGGCATTGCAAACAACAAGTGTGCATCATGTTCACTTTATTTGTTCAGAATGCTTTGAAGCAAATGGTGGGCATCTGCATATTTTTCAGGGATCAGGACACACTTTAACTTGTTCTCAAAGTGGTCATCATAATAATGGCATAAAGAATGGCCTACAAAAGCAATATTGAATCTTTCAAAGACTGATGATGAAGAAAGGCAGTGCATTTTTACACATCTGAACTCATTACTATTACTGATAACAACATTGCCAGCAACATCAAATAGTCCTAGTTTATTTGCAACAAAAGTAGCTATGAGATTGTAGAATCTAGACTTTGATACATTTTTAGAGTATAGTCAAGTGGAAGATTTAGAGTATAGAAAATTGGTAAATTTCTTGGAAATGCTATATTAATATGGAGTTTGAGAAAAACTATAGAAGAGAAACGTGATATGCTTGAAAACCCAACCTCTCTGGATTTGTCGAGCCAATATTCCTGGGAGAGCGGCGGAATACTGACCTTGAGATTTAACTCTTTTCAAACAGAACCTTTCAGCAATTCCTACTCGAATTAAATCTACCAACAGTTAGTGATGCTTAAACTGCGATTTATACTCACGATCTAATTACAGTCAGGACGTTTACCAAAAGAGGAAGCGAATTCTAGAATAATCTACACACGATTCTTGAAATCTGATTGGCTCACACACACGTTTTTTTTGCATTCTTTGTGGATTTTCACGCTATTTGTTCGTGACTAAAAGCCATTCTAATACACAGTAAAAGACGTCTACTTTTCATATTTAACGTTATTATACTTTTGCTTCAATGTTTTCATCGGTCAGCTGATCTCATTTGATGTCAACAATTGGTCATTTTT